CAGTAACATAGACACATACATGACATGTTTCCTTTTATGCATTTAAAAATAAAATACAGAATAAATTAAACATTTAAATATACGTTTATATGATATATAAACTCAAAYGAACCTTATTGATTGGTTGCTTTTGAGTCAAACAGACTTTATTTCATCACATCAGTGTGTTTGTGTGTTTTCAGGTCTGCGACTGTGGAGTGGGACACAGAGGAGAGGGACTGTGCAGACCTGAGGGCCGGTGGGACTCTGTTTGCTGCAGAATGTGACGTTTACGGACCCTGGGTCTGTAAAAAACAATCCTGACCCCGTGCGTGTTTGTGAACATCTGAAGTCTTCGAGTTGTAGGAAAAGTAAGAATGTGTAACAAAAGAGTTTAGAAGTTTCAACAACAAGTTGTTTGTAGGAAGTTTATTCTGAAAGTGCAGTATAAAGTGCATGTATGACGAAGCAGATTATGTCTAATAAAAGCTTCTAAGAGACAATWAGCTTGACTTAGTTTCACGTAAAAATCTCAGTTTCTAAATTTTTCTAAAGACGACTTTGTCACATCTATCAACATCATCATTAGCACAGCTCAGTCTTTGTACATGTTTTCAAAGAGAAATTACGAGTAACATTTGAGTAACCTTTAAGGAAATTAAACTCTTTATGTTTCCCTTAAAACGTCGGAGCGCTGATGATGTCGATTTTTCATTTTCCTCTTCAGCCTCCTGCAGATTTCTGTCCAACTCCAATCGTTTTTAGCTTCTCCGGCTCGTCCGGTTTTAAACTTGTTTTGACTCAGTTTATGGTGATGTTCTTGGGCTCCATGATGGTCATCAGTGTGCGGCCGTCCATGGGCGCGAAGAGCGGGTACAGCTTCCCCCTGAAGCTCCCCGTGAAGGTGAAGATGTGAGATTTGGTTTCTACGTTGTAGAAGGAGACCTGGCCCTCCTCGTAGTCCAAGTACACCCCCACGCGGCGGGGGATCAGGCAGAGAGGCAGCTGCGTCTCGGGCTTGGTGCAGGCGTAGAAGTGGTGGGTGCTACGCCACAGGGTCCAGTAGCCCCGCTTCGGGGTCATGTCCAAGTTGCCCTTCCGCTCCGAGTCGGCGGTCGTCAGGCCCACCCGCCAGTAGCCGTTGTTGGCGATGTCCACCTCCCAGTAGTGGCGGCCCCTGCTGTAGCCCTGCCAGCCCAGCACGCAGGGCCAGCTGTCGAAGCGCTGRGAGTTGTCGGGCAGGTCGGACTCGRACAGACCCTCCTGGACTTTACGCTGGTCGTCTGAAAGCTGCAGCCACGGGTGGTTCGTCATGGGGTCCAAAATCACATCAGCTGTCAGGGAAGACGATTAAATTAGCTTCCTGTCATCACAAAGTCTGATCACTTATTTACCATCACCCACCACCAACAAAGGTGTATTATCATACGTTGGTCTGTTTTAGCAAAATATCTCATGAAACTGTTGGGAAATAAATATAAATTCTCATTTCAAATGTCTCCATAACATTCATTATTTGACATACAGAGATGACCTTTGCTATAAAAACTCTAACATAAAAGGCGGGTGATATGCATTCATTACATGAGTTATACATGTTTAATTATGAAACAATGAGAACATGTACCTGCTGCGCTGCAGATCCAACTCCAAACTGAAAACAGAAACGCAAAAAAATCCATTAATATTTCAGAGCATCAACAATCATCAAAACCACCGATCTGTTCTTTTATCTGCCTAATTTCAATGGGTTATCTGTAAAATATTTGGTTTCATACATTTTTTAAGTTACATTTTTCACTGAATCTCTGTAGATTTTTGAATGGCATGGGTTCGGATTGCTAAGCTAACAGCTAATCCAAACAGCAGTTGTAGGCACAGCTAACCWAAAACTTACATTTAACTATTGTTAATGCTAAACTGCTAATCATGTATATATCTGAAGCAAACACAAAACAGCTAACAAGTAAAATGTAGCGTGAGCTAACTCTAACAGCTAGATGAAAGACATTCAGTCTGCGTCACACGTCTCCTTCCAGCTGAAGACCAGTGGGACCGACATGTTTATGTTAGCTTGTTAGTTAGCTGTTAGCAGACCTAAAGATGGCAAAACCTAATTCATTAGAAGCTAACAGTTATCCGCTAAACAAAATTAGTTCTGCTGTTAGCTGATTAGCAGAACCATGCCCTCCACTGCCAACCAGAGATGAGAAAAAAACAGACTGCTGCCAGTTCAAAGCAACTTCAATCTCAACAGGTTCATTTAAACATTATTTTAAAACCCTTTAGGTTCAGTCACTTCCACATGGTTGTATACAGTATGTAGGTTTCAACAGCAGCTGCTAGCTTGTAGCATTTTTGGGCGCAGTTCCTACAGGAAAATTGTAATAATTGTGCCAAAATAATCATATTGTGAAACAGCATACATAATAAAAAATAGCATAATATCCAATTTGGAAAAACGAGCCATTAGCCCGCCAGAATTAAATTTCAGGTCCTACAAAGCGCTACCTACAACAGGTAAGATATTACCTGTGCATAAGCTTTCCACAGAACCCCACTTTAAAAGATCACAACCATTCATCTAGTACACAAATCTGCCTCGGATTAAAAATGTTCAATAGGTAAAATAAAAAAATATTCACACCTGAGTTGGGAAAGTATCGCGGGATTCCTGCTTTCCAAGTTTTCTGCTTTGCAGGTAACCAAATCTGGGGGATCATTGTCTGTAAGAAGAAAGATAACATAAATGTCAAAAGATWTTCATTGTTTTATTTGTTCTTTATGGCAGATTGTTAAACTATAACCACCAGTAAACCCTGGACGTTTTACTCTTTGTAGTTGCGTTTTTGTTTCATTTCACCTGTGAGAAGCTTCTTGTGTCATTTCTGAAAAACTAAATTTACGCTTYCATTAAAGATAATGAGTCACAGCATTAAGCTCCGCCCACGGCCTTTGACTCGTCAACACCCAAACGTTAATCAGCAGAATCTTGACTATCAGTTATAGATAAAGATTTATCAGCAGATCAGGCCARTAAAACAAATCTTATGGTTGGTTTATTGAAGCTTCACACGCAGGCAGAGAGCAGGGTTCACTCACTGCCAATAAACTGTTTCATAACGAACACGCTGACTCACCGTGCTGTCCTCCTTCAGCAGAGACCAGGTGATGAACTCCAGCAGGGGCAGCATCCGGATCAGACGCTTTTTCTTCAGGCCTAGCAGCCGCAGAGCTTTACCCAGCTCGTCGCCCGGCACGCCGCAGTTCTGTCAACACAAACCGTCACTTCAGCTGTTCAGGGCAATTGAAATACTCAGTATGAACAATTAGTATCTTACCTGTTGCAGATAGCTCTTTGGACAATCTCCTTTCAGAGAAATGGAGTTAAATTCTGACCGGATTGATGAGCTAATGGCTACTTTGAGCTTAGGACCAAAGCTGAAACATATTAAACCAGCTCCAGATTGAAAAACTGGACCTTTTTTTCTTTTTACCTTTTCGTTCTCATTTTTGGATTTTATAGATGCAAAACCACAACTAAAACCTATTTCAGTCATTATTTAACCAACTTCAGATAAAAAAATGGATTTTTTTAAACTTTCCAACATTGTGAGGTTAAAAGCACAGTGTGTAGGATTGTTGTTTTCAGCG